GTGATTCAACAGTCTTACACACTTCACAGCACTCACCATAGCACATACCCTCCCCATTGTCCATCACCCAGCCACCTCATCCCTCCCACCCCCACCACTCCAGCAACCCTCAGTTTGTTTCCTGAGATTAAGAATTCCTCATATCAGGCAAGATGGCGGAGGAGTAGGAGACCTGGAGTTCCTCTGGTCTCAGGAATTCAGCTGAATGGGGATCAAACCATTCTGAACACCTACGAACTCAACAGGAGATCAAAGAAGAGAGTAGCAACAACTCTCTGAACAGAAAAGCGACCACTAACTGGAAGGTAGGATGTCGGAAAAGTGAATCCGAGGTGATATTTGGGAGGATAGACGGTAGGGGAGGGGCCTCCATCGGCGCTTCTGGCAAGTGATAGAGCCGCGGAGCACAAAATCGGAACTTCTAGAAGTCGGCTCCACTGAGGGACGTCGCTCCAGTGGCTAAGCTGGGGGTGGAACCCTCGCGGGACAGTATGGTCTCAGGACCCTCGGGGTCACAGAAAAACTGGGGGTGCCTGAGTGCGGCAGAGCTCCCAGGTATTGGAGCAGGGAAGCCGGCTGCAGAAACGGAGCCAAGGCACGGGCTCTCACCTCGGGGTTGCCATAAACTGTGATCTGCGGCACAGTCGTGCCACTGCTCCTCCAGCAGGGACCCAACAAGCGGCAGAGCTGGGGAGACTCCCCTTCCTCCCTGGGGAGGAGCGGCACGGGAGCGCACCGCAGGGATCTGCTGGGTTTGGAGACTCCACACGGGGTCGGGTGCCAGAGATAGAAACCCTTGGTCACAGGCCGGGTGAGCACGGAGTGCGGCCGGAGACCGGGGAGACGGGAGTGACTGCTTTTCACTGGGGGCCCGAGTTCTCAGCTCCTCCAGGTGGAGATTGGGAGGCCACCATTTTCACCCTGGTCCTCCAAAGCTGTACGGAGAGCTTGCAGGGAACAAAAGCTCCTGAGAGCAAACTCGAGCAGCTTGCTTACCCGGACGGACAAGGGCGGGGCAATTCCGCCTCCAGCAAAGACATTTGGGAACCACGGCAACAGACCCCTCCCCCAGATCAGCAGGAACAGCCAGCAAGCCAAGACCAAGTTTACCAATCAAGGAGAACGGGAGAACTCCAGCGCTAGGGGAATACTGCACATAGAATTCATGGCTTTTTTTACCATAATTCATTAGTTTTTCAAAGTTAATTTTTTAACTGTTTTTTTTTAATTTTTCTTTTTCTCTTTTTCAACCAACATCTTATCAATCCCTTTTTTAAAAAAGCCTTTTTTATTTTTCATTTTAGAGTCATATTTTATCCCTTCATAGTAGTTACCCTTATTTTTGGCATATATATATAAGTTGTTTTCTCTTTAAAATTTTGAGATACAGTTTCTTCTAACAGATCAAAATATACCCTAAATCACTAGTGTATGGCTTTGTACTAGTCTCCTGCCTGATCACATTCTCTCCCTTTTTTTTTTAAATCTTCTTCTTTCTTTTTTCAAACAACTTCTTATCAATTCCTTTTATAAAATCTTTTATACTTTTCATCTTTACAGTCATTTTCCATCCCTTCATTGTATCAACCCTTATTTTGTACATATATAAGTCTTTCTTCCTTTAAAATTTTAGGAGGCACTTTTTTCTAACAGACCAAAATACGCCCAAAATCTACTGTGTGCCACTGACCTATGCACTAGCTTGATCATATTTGATCATATTCTGGGTTTTTTTGTATTGTTCTGTTTTTGCTTTTTCTTTTTTTCTTTTTTCTTTTTTTTTTCTCTTTCTTTTTTCTTTTTTTCCCTTTCTTTTCCCCTGGTTTCAGGTCTTTTCTGATTTGTATAGAGTATCTTTGCTGAGGACGTTGTTAACCTGTTAGCATTTTGTTCCCTCATTCATCTATTCTCCTCTGGACAAAATGACAAGACGAAAAAAATCACCTCAGCAAAAAGAACAAGAGGTAGTACCGTCTGCCAGGGACCTACTCCATACGGACATTAGTACGATGTCAGACCTAGAGTTCAGAATCATGACTTTAAAGATACTAGCTGGGCTTGAAAAAAGCGTGGAAGTTATTAGAGAAACCCTTTCTGGAGAAATAAAAGAACTAAAATCTAACCAAGTCGAAATCTAAAAGGCTATTAATGAGGTGCAATCAAAAACGGGGGCACTAACGGCTAGGATAAATGAGGCAGAAGAGAGAATCAGCAATATAGAAGACCAAATGATGGAAAATAGAGAGGCTGAGAAAAAGAGAGAGAAACAACTACAGGATCACGAGGGCAGAATTCGAGAGATAAGCGATACGATAAGACGAAACAACATTAGAATAATTGGGATCCCAGAAGAAGAAGAAAGAGAGAGGGGGGCAGAAGGTATACTGGAGCAAATTATACCAGAGAACTTCCCTAATGTGGGGAAGGAAACAGGCATCAAAATCCAGGAGGCACAGAGAACCCCTCTCAAAATCAATAAAAATAGGTCAACACCCCGACATCTAATAGTAAAACTTACAAGTCTCCGAGACAAAGAGAAAATCTTGAAAGCAGCTCGGGGGAAGAGATATGTAACCTATGATGGTAGAAATAGTAGATTGGCAACAGACCTATCCACAGAGACCTGGCAGGCAAGAAAGGACTGGCATGATATCTTCAGAGCACTAAACGAGAAAAATATGCAGCCAAGAATACTATATCCAGCTAGGCTGTCATTGAAAATTGAAGGAGAGATCAAAAGCTTCCAGTACAAACAAAAACTAAAGGTATTTGCAAACATGAAACCAGCCCCCTAAGAAATATTGAAAGGGGTCCGCTAAGCAAAGAGAGAGCCTAAAAGCAGCAGAGATCAGAAAGGAACACAGACAATATACAGTAACAGTCACCTTACAGGCAATACAATG